AATGCCAACATTACACAAAACATCTGAATGCCTGAATAGCCCCGATAAATCTCCAGAATCCAAAATATGCCGAATGCGTCAACAGGGAGTGATCAGACGGGTTGCACGGGATGCAGCAGGATGCTGAATCCACAAGGTTTCAAACAGATATATTATTAAGCAGCTACTGAGCACCATGGGCAGCGCCCAATCTCAAGGCCTAGCCCTCATGAACGTAGACCTTAATCCCTTGTCCCCTCCGCCCAATATTTAAATTCGCCCACCCCCCTAAGGTTAAATACTCCCATTCTGTGGTTCATTTTAATATCGTAAATTTAATATTAGGGGGTGTAGGGGTGTTTAATACTAGGGCGAGGGGATTAGCCCCTAGTTCATAAACTTTTCAGGCTACATCTGGCCAGAGTGGCGTAGTGCATATCCTGCGTCCTACCTGGGGCCACTTGCAGCTACAATGGTCTTGAATGTTCTTGGAACCTCAAAGCCTTAGCTGTTGCACGCAATGGCTATCAAGCGCCAAGCTGTAGACGTTTAGCCGTTCCTGAAAAAGTATAAACGTTGAAACATGTGAAATACGGTGCTTCGGAAACCCTGTCCAAACAAGAAGCTCCCGAATAAGACTTTGAAGTACCTCATCTAGCGCAAGCGAACACTGTATAGGGTCTTAGGAGTGGTGCTCCATGTGTGTTTGAAGGATGCTGCCCTCCAAGCTGCTTAAATACTGCACTCTCAAGTCAGGTGGAGACCTTCGACCTGGAGTTTAGGTCCGGAAGCTTAGGTGTTCGACTCGCCGTCTTTCACGCGATGCATGACCATTCGTAGGTGCAATGATATGGAAAGCGTTGCTTCCCCTGTATGAGGTTCAGTGCAGGCCCATATTGTGTCCAGGACCTGACTACTTCAGCTGATGCCTCTGCATCAGCGAAGGAAAAAGCAACAAATTGGCATAGCAGGTACAACCCATCATGTTTCCAGGGACTGCTCCTGCAACTGCCTCTAGCCACCTTGCCTATGCCACCTGGGTATGTGCCAAAGTTTATATTATAATACACTAGAATATACTATAATATACTATAGTACACTATAATATGCCATTATATTGTATTATATCATATTCTAATATACTATGTTGTTGTTAATAACAATTCGATGCACTGCGCCCTCAGCTGAAGCTCAAAGCATGCTCTTTCCTAGAACGACCCTGACGTCCACCGCAATTCTGGTGTAGGCTTAGGGTAAGGTACTGGCAAAAAATGTGGGATAGTATAGGGTTAAATATGAGGCTATATAGGGATAATGGAGCAGAAAATGGAAACTGCCATTTAGGGTTTAGGCACATACCCATTTGCCTTTGGCAACCTAGCGGCATGGTCAAAGAAGGCCAAGAACAGGCAACAAAACCTGCCAGCTCGCGCCAAGTGTACAAACCCAGGCAACAAATGCGGCAGGCGTCGGTCAGGGAAGATTTCCTTTATGAAGCTCAAGGGTTATATGATTAAGAACATTTGTCGATCTTTGTAATCCCTTCCCCCCTAATATCAAATCCCCGCAGTTCTCAATAATCAATTCAGGGGCCTCAAGATCCCGAAGAGCGCTTGTAAAGGGGCAAGACTACTTTAAAAGGGGCCATCTAATAATGAATTCGGGAAGCTTTAATGCTTAGTAATGAAGTAATTATTCAAGCGATTCATCAACTGCAATTGAATAATCCCAACTGATAAGATATTCAGTATTCAGTGTGATTGGCTACTTGATTTAATGAATCACCATTTAATTGTCCTTGGATTTTAACTGGGTTTCACAGGCGTCCCTATCTAATTCTTCCAATTATGTCAATGAATAATACCTTCTGCTGTGAAATAACTCTTTGGGCCCCAGATTATTTCATGTTTGGGGGGGGTGGGGGGGGCGTCGTTTAACATAACCCTAAACCTAAATCCTGTGCGTTCATCCACTTTGGGCTTGCGGTGCTTCAACCCAACTAACTACACACGCGGTGGAGTGTCCAGGGCTCATGGGATATAGGCCTCGCAGGTTCCCCAGGAACCCCTTAATTGTAAGGGTACCGTTTTTTCGCACTGGAGCCTCTTTTCCAAGAGACCTAACCTGTGCGCTAAAGAATCCTCATCATGATGTGAGGTACGCCTAGAAGCCGAACAGCCTGTGAGCGTTACGGAGGCTGCAGCCCTGAAGAGCTTGCCTACAGCGGTTGTGCAACACTTTCTGCACTGCTCAGCAACACAAACCTAAGTTCAAATTCTCTGACCAGATGCTTTTTCCCACCCAAGGCATTTGGCTGCCCGTTGCACATCTGCCAGCAGTCCCTACTCTTAGCTTCTCACTGATGATTGGTTTATGTGGAAATCTCGAAATGTCATAAATTGGTCAAGCCTAGGAGGGCAACTCAGGAAATCATCCCGCCAGGGGCGCACGCCCGAAATCTACGTGAAAAGCGTCGAGGCTTCAGTTGCTCATCTGCTTGACCTTGCCCGCGAAGACCTGCAGAGTCCAGGCGCAAGGGTCAGAAAATCCTGATCGCGACCTTTATAAGTCAAGCTTCAAGGTCACTCCCGTCAGTCCCTCAACCTAGCCTTTGTTGCAAATTTATTTTGGGGCGTTTCGCTAGTGTCGAGGGCTGTATTGCACTCTATAATATAACTGGGGTGGTCTATGAACCCTCTGAATCACTACGGCTTTTCTACAATCATGTCACGCAGCACCCTAAGCAAATGAGCCGCAAGAAGGATTGACTGCGTGCAAGATGAAGAAGTCTGACAGTGACACATGCACCAAAGAAAACACAATGTTTGGGTCAACTTGTTGTTGGCACTGCTTTTGCATCGGCAAGCAGCTTGTTCAGCCCTTTTCAGTCTTCCAACAACAGGAGATCGGGAACAAAGCCTCATCTTGCAATCTTTTGAGATGCGAAAACCCTCCCTCATTCAGACGGACGCACTCAAACAAAAGCATCTGCCAAACTTGACCAACACGTCTCCAAAATCGAGACTGTAAACCCTGACCGCAGGCCCCCACCGATTACAAGATTAAAAGAATGGTACTTACGAGTATATTCAGCAGTATATTCAAGCCACCATCTACTCAGAACCTACAGTCTGCCTAAGCCAACCTGCACCGTCTTCTTTGGTAAAAGACGCAGCAAATACTATAGTACCCAATCACGAAGGCTTACACCACGTGCAATACCGTGGAATCTTAGACGGGGCCCTTTGAAAACTCTTGATCCTATCAAATCAAAGTTGGGAAGGTATCTTGGACGATCTGAGGCTAGAAGACCTTGAAGCGTACCTCGAAGTTTCCGTGCGGTTTATCTTTAATTTATAGGACTTAGAGCTTCCTGATTTTCGGCCAAAACATATCAAATCTGGGGTGCAACCCGGAATTGAGTTGGAAGCCGAGATTGCCAGAAACCCTAGGCCAACCCGAATCCTAGCGCAATATTTTCCGTGAATCCCAAACCTTGTGTAGTTGAATCTACAGAAGCCAAGCCCGAAAACTTTGAATCACCAAGCGATACACAACCCTAAATTGAAACATTAAACTCTGTATAAAGCCCTGAACCCTGAAGCCCAAAGCCCAATCCCTGAACCCCCAACCTCCGAACACCACACGCGAAAAGCCTTCATAACCTCTGAGGCCTAATCCCGGAACTTAAATCCTACCCTAAAACCTACCTGTACCCCAAACACGTGTAGAATAATTGCCAGGTTTTGGGCTATGATTTTACCTACTTTTTGGGTCCAGGTCAACCCTGAGCCCTAAACCCTGGACCCTAAACCCTCATCCCTAATCCTCTTCGCCCTAAACCCCTGATATCCAAGGCCTTACCCTGGCGACGAGCAATCTTCAGCCTTAGGCTTGGCTTTTGAAAGGGTTTATGGGCAGTATTGGGGTTTTGTGTAATTGCACTTTGTGGGTTCAGGTAAGAATTCAGGAGCTCGATTTTGTTTGACGGGCTCAGAGTTCAGACCAGTAAAGTGAATGTGGCAACATCATGGGTGTCACAGGAAAGGTCACCCCGTACACATTTTTCAGGACTCTTGTGAAATTCCCATGTGGGCTTCATTGAAGGATACCCACCGGTTGGTTTAGGGATTAGGGTTTAAGAATTTGGGTCTTCTTGTATTGAAGTCACCAACTGGTCAGCTCAAGCCCAGTGCTTTCACTTGATACAGAGAGCCTTCTTTGTGGTACCTGTGATTCATAGGTCCCCTGAACTTAGCTTCTATTGGGAGACCCCATTTCTGCGTCTAAGGAACACCCACTTTCGAAAATACAAGAAAAACGGCTGCCCTAAACTGTAAAACCCAAATCCTACACAAGCGCCACAATGTCTAAACCCAAGCCGAACCAACAAAATTGCTCCGAACTGCTCTGTAGCAGAAGGTTGTCGGCTGCCATCTGCACCGGCAAAGGTGCCTTGTTCCGGTTTGGGAATTCAGTTTGTTTGGGGAGGGTCTGAAACTCTTAGGTGCTTTTGTGCTTAGCGTGTTGGCTGTAGGTGTGAGTCGACCTAAACCTCAAAAACCTGGAGCCGTAGCCGTTGCCAAGTGCCTTAGGAGGCTGAGATCAGGGACAAATTAGGCTAGAGTTCCGACCACATCCCCTTTAGGGTGTAGAGTTTTGGATGCGTTGATGAAGCCCAATCAACCCTGAAACACCAATCCGAAAGCTCCAGCAACCCAAAGCACCACGAAAACCCAACCCGCAAAAAGCTGCAATCCTAAACCTCGACTCTAAACTAGTGGTGCCACATATGACTTGATGCGAACATGTGGCTTTTGTCAACCTCGGGGAGGTAGGGAGAACCCGCTTAAAAATTTCCTGCTCCACGTCTTTCCTTTCCAGGAATGAGGTCTCCAAAATATTTGGGCGAATCGAAGGAAACCGACTCTCGAACGTACGAGTACCGACTAAGGCCTATAGCAAACTGCTTCAACCAAAAGTATGTCCTATTGCTCCGGAAGTGAAGTTGTCCAGGTCACTTGCGCCCCATGGAGAGCCGCCGTGGATTTCAGTCATGTCAAACTGTCCATCGCCCCCTGCCTGAAGAAGACGATGTCTAGGGAGAGGGAGGGTTTAGATATGCGGGCTTAGGATTCACTTTTCAAACCTTCCGGGCTTGTTGTGATTTGCTGTGGGTGTTGCTGATCATGAGAAGGCGAGGTGAGAGCACGGTAGGACCTACGGCTCGAGGTTTATGGGTTCAGGAGTTGTGGTTGGGTCTGTCCGTCTCTCGAGCCACATGTGCACTGACTACAACAGTTGGCAATGTTACACCTGGAATTCGAAGGTTTACATGGATTGGGGCCTTGGGGCAGTCGGATTTAGGTTCTCACGGCTTGACATGTGAAGATCCTAACCTTGAACTTTAATCCCTGGCCGGCAACCATCGAGCGTTGGGTATTGTGTCGTCTGCTGGTCCAATCAGTATCTTCAAGAGTCTGAGTACCCGATACTCATGTACCTACCCAAGACCCGTGCTACAATTGCAGTTCTTGCCAAAGTGTCCAGTACGCGTTCGTATCAGGACACGTATCATGTAGGCCGTTGTCGCAATCAAGTGGTGGAAAATGTAATTATCAGCCAGTCCCAAGACACATGGCCTCTCTTCCCTGGGCTTGCTTGATCAAAGTGCAGCCCTACCGAAAAAATACTGTTCTGTTCTAATCTGTTCTTAGTACCAAACTCGCTGCAACCCCACAAAATCTATTTCTGACAGCGCCTTCTGAAACCCCTACAACACCCTGAAACGTCGAGCTCAGAACCAATGACTGAGAGATCACGACAAAGCTTCAGCTCCTGGGGGCAAGGATAGGTGCCACAAGGTCGGTCAATGACTCCAGGGTTTGGGTATCGGGTTCAACATAACGAAGCCCCATGTCCAACGCGAACGCGTCTTTCGTTTTAAGACTCTGACCCTGAACTGTGCTAGCCTGCAAAAAACGCAGAACGACCTCAACCATCTCAATCGCCGTGAAGCTGTCGTTCTGTTATTGCACGTGAAAGTCCTCAACCTTGAAGACCAAAACCATGAACATGTCCACCACGCAATCCCCCTTCACAGGTACATGGGTTGGGCTACTCCTGTTGTAACAGATATCGTTTTGGGCTTCCCGCTTCCCCCCAACCCCCCTCTCAGATTCAGGAATTGCCTGGTAGCCCAGAGGCACGAAGATCATGCCGTGATGCACCATGTTTGTCCTTTGCTTAGGACTTTTTGAATACAAGGGGTGAGGCTTTGCAGTAGGGAGTAAAACACATGTGGAGGATGAGGGGGAGTATTGCTCTCCAATCCAGTTCTGTGCTCCACACATACAAGGTGTTCGCACGTGCCCTTAGAAAACACCAAGGACCACCAAGCCCTTGCAGAAGTCCTGACACGTGATGAGAGTTTTGTTTGTATCTGGCCAACAATTAACATGAACACCAATGCAACACTGGCCACAAAAGCTTGCAAAGCAGGAGCGACGGGTTTGGAGAACCTAAACTTTCTGAACCGCAAACCTGAAAATCACATACCCTAGAAACTCCACGTAGGATGAGAATCCCCCAGCCTCAGCCTTAAAACGCCTGCAACAATTCTCCCTAATTCCTAGTCAACTCTTGTTTTCGGCCCTTTTGGTCTTAACAGATAGCCCAAAACAGTTTAGGATAGAGCCAGCCGGCGTCTGAAAGAAGGATGGTGTTTGAGTCCATCGACGGTGCGGACGATGCGAAAACAACATGCCACAGTCTGACAAGACCCTGGACACCCTACACACAATTTCCAAATCATGCTTAGACAGCATGATGGCAGGAAAGAAAGCAACAAACCTTGAGCCCATCATTGGGGTCATGAGCAACATCATGCAGTGACTTTACCTTGTTGTGACATGTTCCTTGGACGTAGAACTTGTTCCCAGCAACGACCGAGAGGCAGAGTGGTCATGTGCGTTGACTCTTGCCCGCCGTTAAGGGTGCCAGTGCTGCAGAAGCTCCCGGCCAACTTCCTGACGAGTTTGAAGGGCGGATTGTGGCTTGCACAAGGTTTCTGCGCATCGAGTTACAGGGGGTATAAGGTTCAAGGGTTAAGGATGGGGCTTTGAGTTTTCAAAGTAGGGTGACCTTTAGGTCACCTGGGTGTGCACAGCTTTTTGGGAATTTGTTCGAGTCCCAGACAAGGCGCCCTGCAAGGCCTACTTTCCTTCTAGAGAAGGGCAATAGGGTCCTCCTGTTTGCTTTGCGGATGGGCTTGGACATAGGAATATGGGTATTCCTCACATGAGTACTCCCCAACCATCCTCGTAAGAACCAACACGCTCTGTGGGCAAAGATGACGTCGGTGGCTTGTCATGATCTGATATCTCTAGTCTCTACCCTGCTGTTTATTAGCATCTTCCACCCAGTGAAGAAGCAGTGCATGTCTCTAGTCATCTTGGTTCCGTAAAGTTCGCGTGCGAAGCCATTGAAGCATACGTCGGTTCTTTGCACAAAAGATAAGATCGTAGTGCACACTGCCAATACCATTCAGTCTTCAGGAAGACTCGAGAAAAAGGCCCATACACGCTACAAAGACACACAAGTGCTTTGGTTTACTCCTGAATCAGTGCCGTTTGTGGCAGAGCCACGCATTACAGAAACTTAATCCGTAAACCCTACAGAACCCCTTTCTCAAGACCCCAAAACAATCATCAGTACGCAGGTAGGTTTAGGGCCACAGGGATGCGAACCCCAAAATCCCCAACACGACCTTGAACTCTCAACCCCTGAGTCCTAAACCCGAAGCCCTTGAACCCTATAGTTTCCAGGCTTCCAACCCTCAAATTGTAAACCTTGAGCTCTGAACCCTAGAGTTTCAAATTCTGCCACGCTTCCCTGCCAAAGCCCCGCTCTGCCAGAGGGAGCCCGTGCTGTCAAAGAAGGCCTTCATCCTGAATGTGTTCATTGTTTTCCCTGATCTTTTGCAGCGGGGAGGGGTGGCTGGTTTGTGGGCTTATGTATGGGATTTGGGTCTTAGCAGCTCGGCTGGATGGTTCAGGGTTGAAAGGCTTCGGGCTTCAGGGCTTCGGCTGCGGGAAGAATAATCGCTAACCCATCTGAGCAAATGGGGAAAGGCCGCGACCTATTGCACGTGGCACAAGTGTGGCAGTCTAACACATATTGTATTCTATCTATGCAGAGTAACAAGAAGGATTGTCAAGGATGCCGCGGTACAAGGCAATTTCAGCAATAATCCGAACACCTCTAAGCAGATGACTGCCAAACCGCAGATTAAGATAAGGCAAGAGTTTGTGCTAATGATGCTCCCAAGGGGCATTCAACCCCACTGGACTGCTACAGCTTCCTCAGAACTAGGGTACCCCATAACAGACCCCAATATACTATATAGTCCTTATTCTAAGGACCTCCCAAAAGGGTACCCCTAATTTTGGGAAACTTTGTCATGATTCATGCTGGAACATGGAACTCACATCCGTCGCTTTTTGTGATCGAGCCAGCTCACAGCCAGGGTACCGGCATTTATTGGGAGCCATACCTTCGAAGAAAACCATAAGCATGCTCCTTCTCATGATTCCTGACCCTCAATTAATGGAAAGGCCCAGATATATGTATACTGTATACATAGTGATCGAGAATGAGATCCCATAAAGAAGCAGAAGAAGCTTGAAGAAGATATTACATACATCCGCGCGTGCCTAGGCAACAGCCCCGAGCTTCCCTCTAGATAAAACAAGGCATACCCTGCCAAAGCAGGAGCTGAGGTTCTGAGCTGCTGCGCTTCCAAAGCGCGTGGGGAGACCAAAGAGGATCCCATCATAGTCCTCAATCTGGGAGTTTCTAGAAGAAGGGATACTTTTATTCGGGATGTAATGAGATCGAGGGGATTTTCAGGGCCTTTGCCGGAATCATGCAAAGCTATTTGAATAAGCACCCCTCTACGAGCCTCTATGTATCTAAGCTGACAATAGAGGGCCAGTTCAATATGCCCATTATCTAGGGTTTCCAAAACCGCGGAACTCCCGGCTTCTTTGTCGGGAGTTCTGGCAGTGAAGATTATAGAGCGACAGGCTAGCTGGGGCGGACTCCCATCTCGTAATACCCACCGCAGCACTTGAAGGTTTTTGGGACTTAGTAGCTGCGCATGTTTGGGCTTAAATGTACTAATCATACATGACCCAATGTCTGATCCTCCTTGCTGACCTGTAGACTCCACAAGGAGGAGGGTGAGGGGGAACTTTTAGGATTGCATTGTTCAGGATGAGCCCCATGACTCTCGCGCCTGCTTCGTGTGGGTGCATGAGTTTCCATGACGGATAATCTGGCGTATACATACATTGTCTCCCGTCTCTGCTGCAGTTCAAGCTGAGTGAAAGCGCCAGCTTGGTATCTTAAGCTGGGTTATCTTTCTTGAGATGGGTGCGACACTATTTCGTCCTTCTAAGTTCTTCCGGGGTTCTGAATTTTTCAATATCCTTACCCAAACTCGTGAACCTAATCTCCCCAACAGAGATACTCAAGGCACCTATTGCAGTCATCCCGTCCCGCTACTGTATGAAAAGCCCTCCCCAAACCCCCTAAACTCACATACACCACCAAACTATTTGGGCCGCTATAGGGCATAGTCAACTCTTTGTGTATATTAAGGGGGGAGCATGATTTTGTTCCGTCCAGCGGCGGCCAGCTTCTGCACCGTGGAGTGATCCATGACAGGGTCCGAGGGCTTCGCAGGGGCACCCATCCTGAGAATACAGAGTATTATTACTATAACCATCGTAGTATATTATAGTATATTATTATAGTACATTACCATAGTATACGTATTACTTTTCCAGGGAGCAGATGAAGGGCCTGGGGGTTGGTTGGAGACTTGGTTCTTAGGTTTGCGGATGCAGGCCTCCTGATGCAGGGTCAAGAGCAGAGCACTAGAGTCCCGCCAGTTTAGGGCTTGAGTTTGAACGTTGCTGCGGGCTTCAAATTTTGGCGTTGATGCCATGGCACTGGAGTTTGAGAGCAAGTCCGTCCCGTTACAATACGCATCCACCGCGTTGCTGATGCGTTTGGACCTTGCCGTAGTACTGTAAGTCACATACGAGTATAGAGGAATAATGGATAACAAATGGAATAAAACATGAAAAACTTAATGGAAAGTGGCTTATAGGGTTTGGGTTCTGGGGCTGGAGCATTTGTGGCAAGAACTGAGACTTGCGAACCCATGCCCCTCATTGGTAAGGTCCTTGAAGTCTTGGGGCGAAAAGTGCGCAGGGCTTCGCTCGCAAGGTGGGTTTGAGGATTTGGGTGCACATGGGATGTCGATGAGAATGTCTTCCTGAAAGCAGAGGGCAACGAGGAAGTATTCCGAAGTGCAATAGAGCCTAAAATGTGTAGACGCATGTTTCCCCAAACAGCGTAACTACAGGTGCTCTTGATTTCAGGGATGAAAGATTTCCTGTTGGCCGGAAGCCTGGGCGGGTTTTTGGAGCCCATCTATCCCTGTGTCTCCCTATTTCCACTTGATGCCGCTTGGGGTCTTCACCTGTGTATAATTTGCCTGTATGAAGATGCTAATCTCCGACCTGCGAAAACCCCCCGACCCACCCCCAAGATATCTAAAGTAGGTTACAAATCTCAAATGAGAGCTAAACCAAAAATCCTTCCAAAACCAAAAGCCTAGGTCTTAAGCCTAAACCGCTTCCACCTCCCCTTTAAGGCGGTCCAGCAGCTTCTTCAGCGCCTGTGGCGGCTTGGATCTATCAGATGTTGGCGAGCTTAAAGTCAGAGTTGTAAAGGGTTTAGGTAACTAACGTTCTACGGTTCAGGTTCTGTGCTTTCAGGTGTTGGGCCTCTTTGGGTTCAAGGTGCGTAGGGCTTAGGTCTCTGGGTGGGTTTAGGACGCTGAGGCTTTAGGGCTTTATCAGTCCTGGCAAACCAAAGTCTTAAACCCCGCTCGGCAGTAAGTGGATCGCATAAGAAAAAATTGTGCAATTTCGTAAGTATGATGGTTTTGCTATGCGTAAGTTCCATCCTCCGGAACCGTCAGCACCAGCCATAATGGAGGCAGATGGTAAATGCAAAGAAATCAAGCTACATAAAAGAACAGAAACTTAAAGAGAGCGAGACATCGACATGTGAAAGTGATAGGCTGGTTTTTGGCCGATCGGGCGGGGCGGGCATAGTGTCATCCGTGGGCCGACAGGGAGACACGCACCAGGTATAAACCAATAAAGGCAGGAGACATCTTTAAGTCACGCACTGAGGTCACCCCCGTGAGCATGATGATGTGGTAGCCGCACATCATCGATGATCAGTACTATTGGCCTTACCAACGAGGAAAAGCATGGCGATGATCTCTGACATAACGTAAGTCAATGATAACGTAAGTGGCTCCTGTGAGCATTGCCGGCATCCCGGCCCGCCTCTTCAAGTATGACGGTAATCTTCCCTCCCCCCAACTCCGCTTGAGCATCAGCAAGTCTGGAGCCCTTCCAGAAAATCCGTGTAATAGGCCCTAAGCCTTGAACCCCATGTAAGCCCATATGTAAATACGAACCCAAAGATACCTGAACCCCAAACCCTAATCCCTGCACCCGAATCTCTCACCCATAAGCTTGTCATCCCTATCCCATATCCAAAGGCTCCAAGCTCCTGTCCCTTACTATCCTACAACCACAAGCCTTGAGAAAGAGCCATCAAAAGGACAACATAGGAGTCCCTGGGTGCATTCTACTCCCTGGCTTCCTTTATATCACCCTTATTAAATACAACCCCTTCTACTAGCCTTCTACCCAGTTCATAGGGCTTGGAGTTTGCCACGGCTTTTTTCGTCTCCAGCTTGCCTCGTTGCCCAGGAGCTCTGGGGCTTGGAAAAGGTCCACGGACACGCCCTCCTCCTGAGCCATGTTTGGGGTTGATGTTGGGCTACGGGTTGAGAGTGGGGTTTGGGATGTCGGGCTTATAGGATTTGATGTTGAGCTAACTGTACTAAAAAAAACACCCGGAGCAATCTCGAAACATAGGTCCGAGAAATTGGAGATCGTAATAAAACCTCTGGGGCCTGAGCTCAGTAGGAGAAAGAGTAGGAGCTCTGTTGATCTGATGTCAATTGCAAATCAAGATTCTGACGGTTTTCAGGCCGGGGAATCTCTTTATTACCGTCCCCTTTTTAAAAAGCGCCCCCTGAACGCTCAACATGTGCAAAGGGCATGTCAAGCAATACGTAGGTTCGCAATTAAAAGTAAATTTGAAATCCTGAATCTCAGGATTTTCTCTGGCCCGGGGAATTAGATTATGACCACCCCCTTTGAAATAACGACGCTGCATTAGGTTAGGGTGTTGAGGCATGCTCGGAGCAAAACCTACTACAGGGGGAGTTATCAGGAATGCTTTTCCTTTGTACATCAGGGTTCCGCATTGTTGCGTTCTTGCTTGGAGCTGGGTGTCTGGGTTCTGTGTTCCTCTCTGGGTGCACAAGGAGGTCAGAGACAGTTGTAAGATTCGGGTCCTAAGGCTTTGGACATGTCTGACGTTCACCTCACAAACTGCGAGGTCTGAGTTCCAACTTTAAGAATTGAGCGGAGGCTACTGTGAAAGTACGCCTGCGTATGGCAGTGACCGATCACCTGAACCCTAAGTCCAAATCCCGGAGCTATACTTGAAGGCATATAGGTGTTCGGTACAGGTGGTCACTAGGCCATCTGACAGGACTTCAGGAATTCAAATTGTTAACCCCGACTGTCTCTGCTTCGTAAAGGGCGTGTATGAAGGTAAATCACTAATTTACCTATAATGGAACACGACAAACTCACAGCCCTACTAGGTAAGCATTTTACAAAACACGCACGGTACCTATGCTGGGGGTGGCAAGAGACACTAAGAGACTATAGGCCATAGGATACTCACTGGTCATGACCTGATTTTCTGTTACCTTGCATGTTTTAATCCTACCTCTGTCATCTCATGGTCCCATGTTTTGACGCACTGAAGTGCGCCTTCATGGAGGCCGCAATTTCGTCGGCCAGTTTCTTCACGTGTCCGTACATGCTGTAATAGACGATGCAGACCTGCGGCAAACCCAAAACTCTAAACCAATGAATTTTAAACTGCCAGCAATGGGTTCAGAGTCCACGTGCCCGATGATGTGATAGGGCTTAAGTTATTTCCTTCCGAAAAGCTGTACTTCGACCCTTAGGTGATCCGTAGCGACGCTTCCGAAAAGCTGTACTTCGACCCTTAGGTGATCTGTCGCTACACGGGGGCGTGCTCTTCGTTCTAGGCAGGCTCGGCGTTTGGGGCTCTTGCAGGTTTCAGCCCTTCACGCTCTGAACTCCACAAGGCAGGCTTTCGATGGCTTTCGCACGTCTAGGCCGAGGGTTAACTGTTGAGGGAAAAGACGTAAGATTCAGGGTGTAAGGTACTGAGCCTACCGTTTCATCCCCAGGATTCCGGGTTCAGAAGCATACCATGATTGTAGGGAGATTTGCAATGCCAGTAGTAGACAGGCTCAACATACGCCTTTCAAGTTATGCATCTTTGAGAAGTATAGCTCGTCCTGTTCCTCCCAAATACAGCCAATCGGCAAAGAACAAGGTTGGTTCTCCTGCACAAGCAAAGCTTGGTCGCCCGTACTGGTTTGGGGATTCGGTCTAGGATTTTGCGCGCAGGGGCTATGGATTCAAGTTTTTGGCTGTGCGCTCATGCTGTACGCACCTGACCAAAGAAGGCCTGGTACCTCAAAGGTAGGAATCGCAGGTGTCATATCCTGTGTAGCTTTGCGGTCTCGGGGGCCTTTCGGCTGAATCTTGACTTGTGGCCGCCATTTCTCCTACTTGCGGATCCCCGTAGTTTTCCCGACATTGAGGAACATACAGCGTACCTAGTCAGGCACGAAGGTAGCGGTCACCCTAAACCCATCGAACGATAGCCCTTGAATCTCAAAATGGGCACCCAACAAACGCACGAAGCACAGGGGTTTCTTGTTAGGGTGTAGGGCCGGTTACACTTACAATAAATGGATGATCCATAGGTCCACTTCGGAGTCGCTGGCAAAAGGGACAATCATGAGCAAGTGCAATGCGCACGGCTGAAGTTTCAGTTTTCATGGTTCTGGGAGTTCAAGCATACTCGTCAGTATTCTGGTACAACTATAAGACAAAAACCGACATCCACTTCCGATTCTTGAGGCCAACCAGCTCTGTCTAGCCCGATACTGGACTCCTTCCTACCCTTCTAAAACATCTTTAACCAATCCTTACAGAGTCGCGCCATTTAAACCGTAATCCTGGGCCTACAGTTTGCTGGACTCATCATCGTACTTGTTCCTAGAAGTCGTTGCGCCTTAGCCTTCTTGGATTGTGCCGGCGCGGTAGTGCGCTTCACCTCACTTCCAGCCGGGCTTGGGATTGGCTAAAAGGGCAGGGCCAGAGTTTGGGGTTTAGATGCTTTAGCACTTTGGGGGGAATGAAGAGCTCGGGTGTAGGTTCTAGGCCCAAAGTTGAAAGTCTAGGAATGACATCCGGGCTTAAAGTGTAAGGATTATAGTTTTTGGAATGAGGAACCAAGGTTCCGGGTAAAAGCCTTGGGGACGATAGTCCGGCCCACGAATAAGACTTTCTGTACAGAGGCTTCGTAGCGTTCCCAAATATGCAAACAAATCAGCCACGCACACCACATCCCTCAGGACTACTAGTGTTCTTTAGTTTACTCTTAGTCGTGAATATCAATGAATATATTGCTGCCAGAACAATCTTAGTGATGACCCCAAGCTGCGGGCGAATGTCTGGGCTTCAAGCCAGAATTCTAGGCGCTACCCTTGACAAGGGTTCATAGAGCATTAGGGCCTAGTATAGCGCGTACGGTCGGAGATCGGGGCTCTAGAGTTTAGAGACCTAACTCTCTGCCTTCCTTGTCGCGGACACGGTCTTAGGCCTAGGAACTCTCTAGGTCCATCAAAAATCAGGAACTCACGAAGTACTTAGGCTGAGGAAACTGATTGTACAACCCATATTATGGAGCCCTTGCATACCCCCCAAGTGCCGAGGTAGTCCCCGTAAAGCCCCTTCAAACTCACAGGGTCCCGAATGCCCAAAGAGGTCCTCTTCTTTGTTGACTTGTCTGACTACAGCCTAGATCTTTTGGTGGCAACCCTCATAACTGGAGACCTAGAGTCACTTCGTATCTGGCTCGGCCTTGGACCCTACTATACCCTAAACCGAATGGCTCAACTCCAAACTGTTTTGAGGTAGAATGCCGGGGCTATGCTTTCAAGAGTTGCGGATGGTGAGGCTTCAGTGACAGCCCTGGGGGGCGATGTCAGTTTATGTATGGGTTTAGGATTTACGGCTTTGCCTTGATAAGGACCCATGATCTATGGGCTCACTGCTTGAAGTTCATGATTGTTGGATGTATCAAGCGTGCAGGAACCTGAGTATAGCCTGTTTCCAGTTCCATTCGCACGTGCTATCATGTTACCCTAGCTTGCCATGCCAGCTACAAGTCGGACTTTCCAAAAGCCATCGCAGTACTATCCAGAAGAGGCACCCATACCATTCAGCCCCACTCTCTGTACGGCCAAGGGCCGAGATATCCCCAAGCAGTTGCAAAGTCAATCCAGCATTCAGGCACAACAGTGGACTTGTTCAATCCGTTGGAGGTTGTAGTCCACAAGGGATATCCAACCCCCAGAATATGCAGTAGCCAGTTGAAGTAGAACCACGTAGTGGTAGTTACGACCACGTTTGCAGCCAGATGCCACCCCTAAACAATCCGTGCCATAGCTTAAAGAACCCCTGCAGACCGCACACTTCCAACTAATCACATGTGAGCCTTCAAGCAGAACGGCGTCACCAGCTCTACTTAGGAGCAGCCAGAAACTCCAAGGAAACCTGAACCAAAAACTCCCGTCTTGCAAGAAACCCCATACACAAGATGTTTGATTTGCCTCCCTCAGGAAATCCTGTATGTTTCGAGGAATATGGGGGGCCCTATGGGGATTGTGTCCAGAACATCTTGTACACAATCTTTTATCCGAAAGCTACAGGCCAGCGACGGCCGAACCGAAGACTTCCCCCTGCTTCTTTGCAATCTTGAGCTCCAAAGCCTCGGAAAAAGTCTTTCGGGGTTCAGGGTTCAGGATATTGACGTTTACCTTAGGGGTACATAGGGTGTGTAGGGGGTTGAGGCTTAGGGAAGGGTACAATCGGGCTCAGGATTTCTCAGTTGAGTGCAAGTTTTCAACGGATTGCAGAAAAGAATTATGCACGCTTCGTATGGGTCATTTGTTGAGGTCTGCTGCATTCGAGATTCCATTCTTTGACGACCCCAGAAGTTGACAAGCAGCTACTTGCAGCAACGCCCGGGGAAATGCAACGGCGAATACGTTCACAGTTTATGCGTCAGAACTGATAGAAGTTGACAAGCAGCTATTTCCAGCAAAGCCAAGGGAAATGCAACGGCAAATATGTTCACAGTTTATGCGTCAGAGCTGATGTCATGGCGCTCAATGTTGCTTAAGCTTTCAAAGCTTAAAGAAGGGATCTTGACATGTGAAGGCGACAGCACCGATCCATTGGCCACAACTCAGGCGCCCTTTCGGAACGTAAAGTTTACAGCCTAAGCAGCAAGTGGCATCCGCTCAAAAATCTGCATGTTTAGCTCATCGGTGAATTGCGACACTATAGGAATAGCTCACAAGAAGCCTGACAGAAATTTCCGCAGCCGGTACTCTTAGCTTCCGCACTTGCGAGATACCACAATATTGGTAAGTATTCAGGCTTCTACATGTATAGTCCCCCTTAAGTAGATAGAATATGGCTTTGGGTATATTATAATATTCCCATATACCCCATATTCTATCTACTTGAGGGGGACTATATCCCTATAACCCTATATAACCCAGACATATTAGAGTTGTTTCCATTTTCTTTTCCATTATCCCTGGGGAACTAAGTGCTTGAAATA